TTCAAAATAGTTGTTTTTTCGGGGCAAGTTATCACTTGGTAAAGTGGAACCACACTTTCCTAGGAAAAATCCTGGCTACGGCCCTGACGTCGAACGAACGAACAAGCGTTCGAAAGTGTTCGACGGCCAACACTACTTCCAGAATACATTGGACTAGGTCGGATCCACCTACGTCACGAGATTTCAGCTCAGCCGATATTTCAAAAGTTCAACTCGGTAGCTGCTATTTCAAAATATCAACAGCTATCGCCTATAAATAGCAACTACTAATAGCTCGAAATATAGGCATATACAAAATGGGATCTCTGAGTTTTCATTTGATTGTATTGTCAATCCATATTGTCAATTCATACAAGTGGCGACCGAAGGCGCTAAGTCGTAGGGTACGACTTGTAGCTCGATTCTTTTGGGTTCGCTAAAACACAGCATCCCCCTCTGGTTTTTCTGTGTGTACTAGTGCAACAATAGATAATTGGCATTGCATCAGAATAAATGTACACGGTGCCCATCCCCAACGACTGATGCCAATAAATGTAAATAAAATTTCGTTAAAATCGTTCATTGAATTATTAAAAAACCTCAACGTTGTTCCATCGAACGATTTTCAAAAAATTATAACTACACCGCATTCATAGATGATTGCAAAATTTAAAAAAATCAATTCATATTTATTCTCTTTTTGTTCTCAAACCGATTCAACACGTTTATATTAGAACAATAAAGAAATAAATGAAAAATAGAAAATAAAATAAATTCCGAAATCGATGGCTAATATTTGTCATGGTTTGTTGTTGTCATGTAATTTCACAATGTCATATGATTACGAAATAGTACTCTCAAAATATTCCGTGCGTACAATGTACAAATTCATAAGTACATTCTACGAATTACATTCGTTGATTGTACGAATATATTCCAAAATATTACGAATATGCCACAACGCATATTTCTAGATTTATATAGGTTTCGTTACTCTTTCTTCGTTTCGGTTTATATCGATCAACGTTTGTCAAACAAACAATTTAATAGTCGTGACGTCCATTGTCATGTTATTTCATGACAATATGGAAATTCGAAATATTTTTATGGGAGTTCATCGTACTAAACCATGCTAAACTGTGCTAAAATATACTAATACTTATGAAACAAGAGAAATCTAACAATATATTGATCAGCATAGATGAAAATGGTTGCGGTAATATAAACGTAGAGAGGAGTTTATAGGGGTATACAGTTGGTGAATAGTTTTCACGCCAATGACCATTTTTGAAGGTTCCCAGATATAACGGTTTAAGTCAGAAACAATAGGAAATATCGGATCTCTTTCTTCTAGTTAATTGTAGGGAGCGTAACGGGCAACAAAATTGGCTCAAGTTTTAAATCAAAATTTACCGTCATTCTGGTGAAAAAAGATAAAACAATGATTTCGATTTCGAGCACCAACTACCGAGAAAATCAAGAAATCTGACAGTTCAAAGTTGTTCCCCGTGACGCCGCTAAAATTTACTAGAAGATACCAATCCGCTATTTTCCATAGTTTCTGATTACATACTTATTCCGATAGAATAAGTTAAAAAAAAACATAGAGAAGTTATAAGTTCTATGGACATTATAAGCGTGGATTCAATGGAATTCATACACAGAAATAATATAAATTATGCTGAGAAAAGCAGTAGTAGTCGTGATAATTGTTGTTTCTATTTTTGCCTCGATTTCAATGTGAGTTTTTGGTATTTTGCAGATCCAACAAGTCACGATCGCTTTACCACGGATACTACAAACAATTCTAAATAATATCGATTTCTCTTTAGTAAAATGCAATTTCTGGAAACAACGAAAATATATTTCTTCTTCCTTATTTCACTGGCATGTTTATTTGGAGGTAATTTTTCACATCTTCTCATAGAATATTAAAGTTACGTTCCAATATGTGAGCCATCTATTGATATTTGACGTTTTTTAAAGTTTTTGTATAGAGTTTGAGCTTTTTATGGTTGGCTAAATGTTCTGTATTCGCTTCATTTCGCTCTATAAAAAAGAACACGGTTTACAAAGCGGAACAGCGAAATGAAGCGAATATAGGCACGCACAGTGTTAATCGTTCATGCGGGTATTATTGCCGTTCGTTAACAACACGATCCCCGCCGGACACTGTCGGTATTATAGAAAATGTACAATCCTCAAATTGCAGTACAGTTTCGATTAGAATAATTCGTAATAGATAATTCTAGGTTATGCCCAATATGGGATTTATCTTTGACCAAAACAGGGGGCAAGCCTTGCGCTCAACTCCAATAGATGTCTCCAAAATAAAAGTCATGCTAGAAGACGATCCATCCGATAGCTGAAAAATGACTCCTTGGCTCTATATATTTTCCATGTCTTAACACAGAATTGGAAATTTCCAATTGGTTCTTTTTTCAAACAGTCTTATTTAGTGTAGTCTTACGCGGATGTTCGCATTCCATTAAACGCACTCATTTTTCAACATTTTTGTCGGTAGTAAAGGAGAAACAGCCAAGAAAATACAACGCTTCGGATGTTCTGGCATCAACCTGGATGCATCATCACACACTGACAGCGTGATGTGTAAATGTTGCCACTGTAGACGATTTTGTAAATTGTCCAACCATGGTTCGAATATTTGCTTCTTGACTTCAATCAATGTACTTTTAGCTCGTTTGATGTGGTTGTTTTCGTCACTTTCGGTGCCAGTTTTTCATCCGACGCCTTTTCAGCACCAATCCAAAAAAACGTACCTAACAATATTGCAAACCCTAAAAAACGTCACTAAATTTTGTAGAAAAGCAGGTTTGTACGCCACATCCATAGTCTATAGGCCATAGATATAACTTGGTATATTTGAAATGGAAAAATAAACTGTTCCACTTTACCATCGTCAACGTCATGCCAGATAATTTTTTGTCAATATCAGAGTTTGACTCAGGCGACAGATATATGCTTTAGCATAGAAAAAATATCCGCATATTTTTTGGTTTGTCCACTCTCAGTATATAACGGCACCCAGCTTCATCGAGTATCAGCACCAAGCCTCGATTTCATGTATTACTTTACATTAAAGCCGTCAAATGACTGCTGCTAGCGACGTCTCACTGCGACAACGTTAACTACAGTATACACCGTGCACTTCTTCTTCTTCTTCTTCTTAACTTATGCCACTTTTTTCTGTTGTGAGTATGAAGCTTACGTTGTCGCAGTGAGATGTCGCTTCAGCACCATATGGAAAAAGAAATCAAGACTCGATCAGCACGCACACTGAACGTAGTAATATAGATTATAGAACGGTGTGTTTACAATTAAAAAAAATTGTTTATAAACCAAATCTTCCAGGATTGTACAGCGCAATGTATTTAAACGGCAGCAATGCTGTCGTATGTTAAGGTTTTGCGCTGTAAAGTTCTGGTAGATTTTGTTTATAAACAATTTTTTTCTTCGTAAACAAACCGTCCTATACTACCACGTTCAGTGTGCGTGCTGATACTCGATGAAGCTGGGTTCCGTTATATACTGAGAGTGGACAAACCAAAAAATATGCGGATATTTTTTCTATGCTAAAGCATATATCTGTCGCCTAAGTCAATCTCTGGTCAATATTCCACGTTTTCTAGAAAATATCTGTGAAGATGAATTGTTCAAATTCGCAGCAAATTATTTGACGTTATTTTCAATTATCTATCGAATGGAGGAGCATCTTTTGATATGATTTTTGGAAATATCTATTGAACTGAATGTAAAGCCTGATCCCTGGACCTGATTTTGACCGTGTCAATTGAATAGTTATTGAATGTTCCTATTAATGATTATTGTGAATATTCTGAAACATATCACTAATTCTCTTTGTTTTAAGATATGACCATGCATGGTGAATAACATTTTATATGCATAGAGTAAACGAAGAACGTCCGAGTTACCTTTCAAAAAATGAGATATGAAGACTTAATCTTTACCGTAGAAGATACAAGAGATGCATCTGCGGCAAATGATATTTGGATCTATACTCACTAAAAATCGAATTAGCCCGATTGACGGTGATCTGTCAAGTTACCAATAGAGGTTGCAAAAATTACAAAATCCGTTTTCAGCGAGTATTGCCCGTCCAAAATTGTTGCTCTTGTTCTGATAGTCGACAGAAGTTATTCGTTTACTTAAATCGTATTAAATGACAGTCTTGCAAATCAGTAGACATCAATATACTATACCAGCGGTATATACCGAAGTATACTTATATACATAATATGAAGAAGAGCCTTTTGCAATTAAAAATAATGATGCAAAGTCATTAAAAATGTTTGAAATGTCAAATTTTAACAAGTTTGACAGTTTTTAGTTTTTTGAGATTGTTTTTACTATGTGTTTATTGATTCTAAAGGCATGGTATATTATTTGTTGTATATACCGGTATATACCGTCACAGTATAATATACAGTATATCTCTCAACACTGTTAAATGACATAATCACATTGATGGCAAACCAGAAACTACATATCTACATATTTTAGACTGAAACCAATGTTTTTTGAATGTATATTACAGCAACAACTTCAATTGAATGTTATCAGTGTAACAGCGAATACGATCCACGATGTGGAGACCCATTTGATCCATACTCACTGGGAAAAGTGAATTGTAGTTTAAAATATCCTCTTGATCACTTGCCAACTAATGAGCCGGTCCTCTGCAGAAAAACTACTCAGAAAAGTAATAATATTTCATAATAATTGGGTGCATGGTATTTATATTTGATTTTGTTATTTGTTTACTTTGAAAGTTTTCGGAAAAGTACGTGTCGTCAGGGATTGTGGATACTTGGTTTCGGATTTCGATAACAAAGGATGCCTTAAGAAGTCGGGCACATTTGAAGTTCAGAACTTTTTCTGCTCATGCACCAATGATCTATGTAATCACGCTGCAACAGTTCCACCTCTCCCATTTTCTCTAATCATTGTTTCGGCACTATTTGTGCTCATAAGAATGATTCAATTGCAATAGATCTCTTTAGCTAATTACCAGCTTTATAGCCGTTCAGATTAAGTTCATTATTTTCCATAAGTATCATTTCACCACCACCCAGAAAGTGCCAACTCAATATGAGTTACTTATGTAAGTACGAAATATTCAAACAGTTTTTTTTTCTAAATTGAAATGAGATTGTAATGAATGTTTATTGAATGAATTCCCTCTGTAAAACATAGGTCAAGCCCAATCATCAAATCAGAGGGGCCGCTGCACAAGTGGACGCTTTCATACGAATCCAAATTGGACAGTTCATTTTCGCGATAAAAGTTATTGGTTTACTATTACATACTATCCCAACGTACATTCATACGGTGTTCATCGTATTGGGTTTGCTGGGTTATTTGTATTCGGTCATCTAAAACACTAGCGCTTTGGTAGCAACAATGCGATTTGCAATAGGCTATTTGGTCAAAATGGGTCAAAAGTCCAACTAACGAAAATAAAAACCAAAATAATACTGTTTGTAAACGTTAAGTTCCGAATGGAATGGACACCGCATGCAAGCATGGTATAGCTTTACAACACAAAACTAACCGAAGCCCTGAAACAAAAGCAGTGAAGGTATGAAATGAAATCAAAAGTGATTTCTATGAAAGGGAACAAATGAACCTTGAAATTAATTTTATGCATAGGGGCGAAAAGAAATGAATATATACGTAGATAGAATTTTTTCGTTTTTTTTTGTTGCTATTCATCTCTACCCTTTTGCATATGGTCTTCATATTAAGCCTGATAGTACTATTGTTTGTGAAATCCAACCCTGTATCGGAATTCTATGACACTCCACAAAAATCGTTCGACATAGTTTCAAACGATCAATTCGATTTTGGAATATGGGGTATAAACGTTCAATTCCCAAATTGAACATTTTTTGGGTGAATATTCATTGAATGTTTAGACCCTCTATTTCTAAATCGTATTTGATCGTTTTAAATACGAACAAACTGTTCAGGATTGTGTCGAAGAATTCTGGCACTGATAGTAAGCAAGAATACCAGTAAAGAACTAAAATAAAATCATGAGAATAGATCATTTAGACATCGATAAATTAGTTGAGATAATTAAGGAAATCTGAGAAAATCCACCCCGTTTGAACTAATAACAAGTTAAATGCTTAAAGTTCGCGGAATTGATTCGGGAAATAAATTATTTCAATTGAAATGAATAATTATATAGATATTTGTTGGGTAAATAAATTCATTAAAACAGTAGATCAAACATGTGTTTTAAGATTGCTGAGCATCTCAGCATTTCGTAAGGC